TGAAGGAATGATAATTTCTGTTTAAAGTGCTCTGGTTTTAATTTTATTAATACTAATTATTTATCATAAAATATGTTCTATTTATTGTATATAATTAAATCACATATAAATATGTTGAGTGAAAAAAATAATATATTGCAAATTAATAACTCCTGATTTTACAGTATTAGTAAATATTTCATTAGTAAATATTAGTACTAATTCGCTGCCACCAGAGTTCTTTGAATGGAATTAAATTTTTTATGAGGCAATAAAAATTAGTATGTATTGGTTAACTGCAAACACAGTATCATATGTTATGTGACTTCAGTCCAATTTGGAATACATTCAGTCAGTCTAAAAGTACTGAGGAACAGGGAAAAAAAAAAAACCTAACTTTTCTCAAGGGTTCTCTCCAACTCCCATTCCTGTTACCTACAAATCTCTAGAAGCATTGCCTATTTTCTTCAATAATTTTAGCACTACTTTCATAAATTTTCTCTTTCAGGAATATTTGCACATAGTGAAACATTTAGTTTTGTGAAAAAAGGAAATTTGGAGTGTATTTATTGGAAATAAGAAAAAAAGCTCTTGGTGGATACCCACCAGTAGGTAATTGCAGAACTGGAATTTCTGAGGTATTTTCTTTATTTAGATTTATGTAGATAAATAGAGCTCAAGAGGCTTTGCAGAGACTTTTTTTAATTTTTCATCAGTTACTTAGCTGGAAATCAGTTACTCTGTATTTCTTAATTTCTCCATCCTGGAGGTCAGGGAGAAGCTATCAACAGACTCTGTATAAGGACCATCTTCTTGGGAGGAAAGGAAAGACCATCGTCTCTCTCCATTCTTATCCTAACTTTTTTTCTTGTTTTCTTTTATAGTTCTAAGCTTAACTAGCTTTACTTTAGTTGGACAAGAGCATTAAAATTTCACACTATAATTTTACTATAGTAGTTAATTATAATGTTATTAAAATGTTACTAATATTTACTAATGAAGAAACTAGTGAGATTAAAAAACTTGTGCTAAGGTTATACAATTATGAGTGGTATAGTTGGGACTCAAGCCAACGCAGCTCAGAGACTTCATCTGTGTTGTTCTGTGCTGCCCTATGGTACATCCAGTGGCCTTTTCTCAACCATCTTCTCTAAAATGCATTAGACATTATCCACTTGCTCTTTAGACTCTCATGGAAAGTCTTTGTATTCCAATTCACCCATTAGGAACTTTGTTTTAAAAAGCTTTTCCTCTCTGTGTTTTCTAAACCTGGAATTTTTTTTGTAGAGTCTCTACTTTTGCCTTGTGATCTCATAATTACAGTGTCAACTTTGTGCAAGTGATACTAAAGGAAACCACAATACTTCTCCCCCAACTATAAAGCATTGTTGAATCAAGGACAGTAAAAATTTAGGTGACCCCTCTGTCTTCTGTTTCCCTAAAGCAGGATAGAAATCACAAAGACAAAAGCCCATGAAAACAGTACCTGCAATCTTCTTTACAGCACCTGCTTATCATTCTTTGAGATGGCAACACCAGAGGAATCTGCCAGCAGACTTTAGCTTCTCATACTTTGGCCACTGTAAACTCTGGGACTGACTTTCTTTGGTCTTGTCCCTTCCTTACAACTCAACGTTGTTTGCTGAAACTATTTAAGGCAGACTCCTAAGGTGCTGCCTTGAATTGTTTATTTCTCCTGTGTGACAGGCATTGCTCCTGTTAATGAACTTGTTAGTTTTTCTCTTGTTAATCTGTGTTTTGTTGCAGAAATATGTCCTAACTACAAACTTTTGAGGGACAAAGGAAAGTATATTTGATTCCCATAAATTATAATAAATCAAATCTTTTATTTTGAACTGCCTGTTGTCCCCAAATCACTTAAGTGTCCTGCTGGGGACTCAAAACAGCATTAATTTTGCCACACAATTTTGAGTCTGTTTTGTTTATTTTGATCTTGAGTGCAAATTATATCAGGAGCCAGAGGTTAGTAAAACTCAACCATTAGCAATGCATTTGCCCCTCCATGGGCCTGGGTTCTGCATCTACAGTTTGGGCCAAATGTGGTCCTCTGCCAAGAAATTCTGATGCCATTACCAGAAAACTTTTGGGGAAAAATGTGTTTGTACTGAATAGCAAGGGTTTCTTTTCTTGTAATTATTACTTAAACAGTACCTATGATTTATATTGTACTAGGCATTATAAGTAATCAAAGATGATTTAAAATATATGTATGTAAGAGGATATATATATATACATGTATATATATATATACATGTATATATATATATATACATATATATATATATATATATATATATATATATATAAAATCCCATTTTGTGTGGTAGAAGTGAGCATCCACTGATTTTGGTATCTTCAAGTGTTTGGAGCAAAACTCTCACAGATATTAACAAATGACTGTACAAATATCATTGACATAAATATTTTGGGATTACTAAGTGTTCTGCTATCCCTTACATCTAGGGAAATGAGAGACAATGTTAGAAAATATTTATATGCCAATAACCCAGGAGTTAAATATGCACTTACTTTGCATCTTCTAGTCATAAAGTTGTTTTTCTACTTTTCATCAAAAAGTGAAGCATTTTTCCTGAAATATTGAAAATCAGGCTTTTCATTTGTGACTTTGTGAAAGTATTTGTTAAAATGATTATTGAAAAGAAAAACTATATTTCTTACTTCAGGTTATAAAGCGACTGAAGAGGTTATTTACTAGACTAGTGGAAATTTACTGTATTCCAGCACCATGGTTCTCAAACTTGACTATTTGATGGGCTCTGCTGAGGTCCCAGGAAATACACGAGAGTATTGGAAATTTTATAAGCAACCTTGGTGATTCTAATGTATTTCTAAGGTTGACAACCATTTTTCAGAGAGTATATTGTTTAGAGTTGATAAATAGCCAATTAAATTTTTACTTCTAACAATCAAACACTTTTTAGTACAACTATTTTTATTCTAAAATGTATTCATGTTTAGTCAACATGTAATTTCAGCTGGGAATTTTCTGTTTTTACCCTTTTATTCTGGTTTTAATTCTGTGGCTTTATAGGAAAAAAGTGTTGGATGATATTCTTTAATGAGAAAGCATGAAAACTTTTTGTTTTTTCTTTCTTCTTTTAAGTCTGTTTGTAATAAACTTGATATCCCTAAAAGATCGTTTCTGTAGAAGGAAAGAACTGCATTTCAGCCAGGTGACCTATTTTTTTTTTTTTTTCTCTAGAAACTGCCCATATTCTCCCTGTATTTTCCATGTGGCTCATCACACCAGCAGAAAGAGAAGTCCCTTTCAGGTTGATTCAACTCTATCGTTGTCTTCTGTTTGATTGTCTCATCTTTCTGGATACAAGGAGAATGATTTTAAAGGCTCATGTGATTCATTAGATTGATGTTTTAGTCAAAATCTATTTGTGAAATCTAAACATGGATACCTAATCTTAATTATCTCAGTGAAGACTATTTGGGAATAAGAAGTAGAGACTTTGTCGAAGATATTTTGCCTACCACTTTTCTATCAGACTCCTTTCCACTCCTTTGTCATAGAACACATCTTCCAATTGAATTTCTGAGAAAGCATACGTGAAAAGAATATTTATAACTTTTTGTATTTGAAAATATCTTTTTTACTTTCATTTTATGAATTTCAAGTTTGGAAAAATAAACAATCATATTTTTCTTCGTCAGAAAAGGTATTCTGCTTATCTCTCTGATTTGAAATTTTACAATTACACATTTTGATTTGGATAAGTTATACTCAATAAGTTATACTCAATAAGTTTGTGTGTTACTTTCCTCTAAAGACCCATTTTTCAAAGTGTCTTTGATAATAATTCCCTTCTTGTGTGTGATGTTATCTGTTATGTATTGAATCTTTCTTTGTCTAATTGTATTGGCTAGCATCCATCGTAGAATATTGCACATGAAGTAGTAAAAATTGAGTCTTAATGTTATTTCTGATTTTAGTGGAAAATGGTTACTCTTCATGATTAAGTACATTAACAATGGTGTTTTTCACTGATGCCTTTTTATTAGTTTAAAGTTCTCTTCTATTTCTAGTTTATTTCTTTCTATTCCTAGCATGTGCATTTTGCTTATTCATAAGTTGCAATTGTCTGTAGTTTTCCTGAGATATCTGCCCTACTTCGTTTTTTCATCTGAACTTGTTATTTTTTGCATTGCTTTTCTTGGAGGGAGAAAGTCATTGCACACAGCTTTAGTCTTGAGGCAAGTCTTCAGACACTCTACTCAAATGAAAATTTCTAATTGTAGCAGAGAAACACACCTACACAGTCCTTTGGGATTTCTTCCTATCTTCCTGTTCCACAAACCAACTAATAAAATATGTTCTTCATATTCCAGATCTTACACTCGTCTGATCATCTTTTTTCATTGGCCTGAATCTACAGTTTTATAACCCTCTGTCAAATAAATCAGTCCCCCACTTCCTGAATGAGTCCTTTTGATGAACCTCCAGCCACCAACTGGTCTCTCAAGTATAATCTGCCAAGAGCACAGAGGTGTCTTTAGTGGTTAATCCTGGCTATATGAGTGGAACCTTAGGTTAGGCCGGAGAAGGTAAGCTACCAGTACAAAGCTGCCAGGGGGTGAACTAAACCCAGGCAGTGTGACATCTTTGGAGAACAGTCTTAAGGACGCTTGCAGATTTTAGCGGGAACGGACTCAGCAGGTGGGCTCGGAGCCGGGAGCTCCCAAAGGGGCTGGGTGAGAACTCGGGGACGGCTCAGGCTTGGGTTACTCTGGTTAGGGGGCTGAGAAAGGGGAAAAACTTTCCCACGGTTCTGCCGGGCCCCGCTGGCGGGTCTACGCGGGTCAGGCCTTTGGGCCAGGGCGGCGCCGCCCACGCGCGGCCCAGTGGGACCCTGCAGGGGCTGAGCGAGCTGGGCGTTGAGCGCCGGGGAGTGGAGTCCAAGCTCGCGGGGTCGCGGCTGCCAACGCAGCTCGAGCGCTTTCCGCGGGGTTTGGCTCCTGTCGCTTCCCGTCTCCCCGAACCTGCATCCTCCGCCGCGGCCACCGCCGCGAGTGCACAGAGCCGGGCTGCGGACGGCCCGGCGCGCCGGCGGGGCTCGTGGCTGCCCGGATCCGGACGCCTGAGCAGGTAGGGGTGCGGCAGGCCGGGCAGATCGCCGAGGGGCGCCTCTCGAGGCCCGGGCCTCGGCCCGGCGCGGCCGCAGTGGCCCAGTCCCCGCACCGGCCCGGTGAGGACGGGCTTCCTCCCGCGGCCCCAGGTGGCGGGCGGCGGCTTAACTTTCGCACTTGAGGCTCCGCGGGGCGGCCTCGGACGCGCCCCCTGGGAAGCTGGCGCTGCGCGGACGCCGGCAACCCGAGCCCCGGCGGAGAGAAGGCGGGGGCGTGGTGCGGAGGCCGGGAGCGCGGGCCGGGGCGGAGGGCGGCTGTGGGCGCCGCGGCGGCCGAGGTGAGGAGATGCGTCCCGGCTGGGCGCTGGGCCGGAGAGAGGCAGTCTGCGCGCACTGCCTTGCGCGGCCGGCTACCTCCACGCTGATCAGCTTCTTTTGTCTGGTCCATTTCAGTATTAGTGTTTCAGGGGCTTTTGTTGCAGCTTTGCGTCTGGAGTGTAGGGACTTTCTGCGGGACAGAGGTCAGAAGTGAGGCTGAGAAGCCCTGAGACGGTGGTGGGGCGAGGTCCTCTGGGAAGTTATTATTAGCGCTGACGTGTATGTGCTGCGGTGGTGTTTTCCAAATAATGCTCAGTGATTTTGTAGCTTCTAATAGATTTAAATAGACCCATGAGAGCCCTCATTAGTTAACTTCAAAGCAGCGTTATGTGGGCAGGTTACTTATTACTCCATTTTATTGCCGGGACTGCTGGGGCACACAGGAAGAAAAGTGAATATATCAGAACTAAGCAGTACTTGGAGAAACGGGGATTAGAACGGAAAGTTGGCCTCGGTGTTCCCATCCAGCTTTCAGCCGCAAAGGAAATTTAGCAATCAAAGGATTTCAGGCAGGTACTCATTTTATTTTAACTTACATGTTATTAAAATATTTCCTTAAAAAAATAGAATGGAATCTTTTCAGGCTACTGCAATACTACCCCTAAAAATGATATCAAAATTACTTTAGTTGTTGAATAGTATCAGTAGAGTCCCAGAGTAACATTCTTTGTCTTTTTACTTAAATTTTTCATTTTCTGTAGAAATATAGTGTTCCTGGCAGTGGAAAAATGATCATGGCGGGGACCCTGCATATTAATATGTAGAATGGAGGAATCAAGCTGCCACGTATCTCCGAATACTGAGCAGCAATTTTACTTTTTTCATTAAAAAATGAAGAAATGAACACTTAACAGAATCGTCGTTTAGATTATGTTGTGAAAATTAACGTGTATAGCAATTGCATTCTTATTATATTTGTACTTTATTATTTCCCCAAAGTCATGAACAATCTACCAGTTTTCCCTACCATTTGCCTTAATAGTTTTGTCCATGGAGCTTTTATAACCTTGATTTTCTTTTACCTTTTTTTTTTAATATGATTTTTCAAAGTGAAGAGTTTTTCTTTTAAAGCTTAAAAAAAAGCATTAATTTTTTTTGGCTTATAAAATGTAGTTAGCCGGAAATTGTCACCTGGATGCCTTAGTAAGTAACTTTCATACATCAAGGAGGAAGTCTTCCTGGCACATAACCAATAAATTAAAAATCATTTTTAATAGACTTCTGTAATATTTTGTGATGCATCTGCCTGAACAATAATAACTTATAAAACTATAACTTATAAAATAAAATGGTTATTTATCAAGAAACATGACACTAAATATTTACTTAAATTTTCCTAACCGTATATAGCGTAAATTTTACAGAACAGTGTGCTTAGATGTAATTGTTGCCTCATAGAATAAATTTCCTTTATACCACTTGCACTCCGTTATCTAAAATATCTGATAATTTATCTTTTGTTTCATAGGTTATTTGGAGAAATAATGGCTAGAAAATATTTTAGTTTGAACTCTATGCAGGGAAACTGCTTTGTGTCATCACAGTGTAACCGTACAGTGGGAAACTCCTTCCCTAAACATGCAATTATTTATGTTTTAAAATGATAGTCATTCAAGTAGTCACCGTAGGAGGCTAAAAAACTCCAGTAATACTATTTGTATTCAAAATTTTGAATACTTTGAAATTTTGAGTCATTTTACAAGTGATGTAAAATGTTATTCTGTTAAGGTATGTACAATATACATTAAGTAAAATATAAAGTATCATGATAAGCACTTGTTTGTGATACTGGGGATTAAACCAGATGTAGTACTAAGCTATATCTTTATCCCTTTTGAAAACTTTTTGTTTAAGACAAGGTCCCCAAACTTTGTCCAAGCCTGCTTTGAATTTGAGATCCTCCTGTTTCAACCTTTGAAGTATCTGTAATTATAGGTGTGCACCACTGTGCCTGGTGTTGTTTGTTTAAATAATAGAAATAAATGTAATACAGCTTGAGCACTTCTTTTCTCTACTTGGCAGAATGATTTCTGCCTGCTTGCAAAATTTAATTCTAAACCAGGTGTGGTGGCACACAGCTGTAATCCTAGCACTCAGGAGATTGAGACAGGAGGATGGTTGTGAGTTCAAGATCAGCGTGGGCTACAAAGTGAGTTTAAGATCAGCCTGAACTGCACAGTGAGACCCTATCTCAAAAAGACCAAAAAATCTTAATTGTGCCTTTTATCACTATTAAGAATCTTAAAGGATTATCCTGACAACTCTCAAGGCAATTTTGAAGGAATGGGAAGTTTTAAAATAGTTTAAAATAATGACATTATTAGGATAAGTTTGTAGCCTTACTACAGGACTACTCTGAAAGGTACAATGCTTATTGTAAGCTAAAGTCCTATACCTATGTGTACATTACACCTTGCTATATGTGTTGAAACTAATAATTGGTGTTGTAACCTCTTTTTAACACATTTATTTTTTTGAGAATCAGCTATTTCACTTTACTCTTTAAGTAGAATATGTTAAGAAGATCACTTATTTTACTGGAACAATACTAGTTTGAACTTCACATAAACACAAGTATAAATCTTTGTAATAGTTTTGTCATAAAATTTGGCTCTGTGTTATATGTTTTGATCCAAATACAGCTGAGGTGAAATAGGTTCATCAAAATATGGGATTTCTGTTTGAAAAATAATTAGCAGCCGTGTTCACAACAGATATTCCTGATTACACCTCTGTCAAAAGATGAAATTCAGTAATGTAGTTTAAAGATCTAATTAACTTTTATTAGTGATTCTAGAATCACGCAGTGTCTCATAAAATGTGTGCTGTTCTTTTGGCATTGTAGAACAGTTGATTTTTGTAGGAACACAAGGGAGTAGAATAATTTAAAAGGTCAATCATGTCACTTTTATTGTAAGTATTAATGTGGAACAGATTCTCTTTTCTGCCATCTCAAGTTGACAGAGTTAGTTTGGACTAATTGTATCTCTTTTTCAGGAAAATCTGATCTGATTGGTTATAACCTGCTTTCTTAAAGTTTCATTTTGATTATGTGGCACTTAACTTGCCTGACTTCACTGTGGTTTGATCTGTTGGGGCCCAGTGAAGGACTTCAGCCTAAAACAATGGTGTTCTGCAAATTTTATTTACCCTCACTTACCATTTTATTCATTCATTTTGGGGTTTGAAAAATTAATAGCTGCATTATATATCTCAGACTGTGCTATATAACAAAATAGCTGAAATTGGATAACTGTAAAGAATACAAATTTACTTTTTATACTTATGGAGGCTGGAAAGTTTGGTGCCTGGCGAGGTCCCTGGTCTCTGCTTCCAAGATCAACACTTAGCCTCAGAGGAAGAGGTGAGATGGCTAGAAACAGGCTTAAGGTGGTAATCTTCGAGCTTTTTTTTTATAAAGCACTAATCCATTCATGGAGTCAGAGACATCATAATTTAATCACTTAAGGGCCTCACCTCTTACTACCACCGCAAAGAAGATGAAGTTTCAGAATTTTGGAGAATACATACCAAGCTATAGCATGTATCGTATGTGAGAGCCAGAGACTCTTCCAATGGTACTAACAGTTACAGGGATATTGAATTGATCCCCCTACTATATCAATAAGAATTTATAATAAATGTGAATTAATTTTCTAAGGTAACAGGAGTAGAGGATTGTTTATACAACGTATAACTAAGAATGAGTAATAACACTGTAGTTACAAATACACTTCAGCTTAAAGCATAATAAGTGCATAATCAGGGATATATAAAAGCAAGACATATAAAAGCAAAGTATTTTGATATTCAGGTAAAAAGTTCTATTATTCAGGAGCCAAGTTTATATTTCAATTGAAAGAAAATGTCAACTTTGACAGAAATCAGAGATTTTTAGATGCAGACTGTTTTCCTATAGAATGGCCATTACTAAGGCTAATAAATATGGTGGGATACATGTCCTAATTGTACATACAGTTTGCTTCCTAAGTCATGTCCCAAACCAGTCTCATCCTGACTGGTCCTTCAACTTTAATTGTCATCTTTGGGTAGTATATAGTTGGAGGTAGGGAAGCTCAGAAAAGAATAAGGATATCTGTTTTGTATATAACATTATTTTTTTCTGAAGCTGGAAATTTAATTCTAAAAATCTTTTTTATGTTAAAGAAAAATAAAAGCAATGATACAAAATTTCAAAACAATAGAATGATAATATTTAATACATTGCATATTATTATCTTCAAAGTAGGTCCTCAGATTACAAGATATAGGCATGAAAAATTGGTCAAACAATACAAGCACAAACTTTCTTTTTGATGAACTAATAGAAATTAGTAGTATAGCTATCTTTTGTGTATATATAGTGTATAATATTATATCTCTATACACATATATATGTGTATATATATATATATATATATATATATATATATAATTCTTAAAATCTTGTCAAAATTTTCCCTTATCAAAACAACCCAGCTGAATTACATGCATCAAATTGCTTTGGGCCAAAGGAATTATTATTAAAACCTGCAAAGAGTGGGCTAGGGATTTAGCTCAGTGGCATAAGCACCTGCCTGGCATAAGGGCCTGCCTGGCAAGCGTGAGGTTGTGAGGTTGATTCCCAGAACCAAAAAACAAAACAAAACAAAAAAGCCTGCAAATAGTAACTAGTAAACAATAAAGTATATAAAAATAGATTTATATTAATAAGTATTCTTAGTACCACAAACCTTAACTACTTAACAAAGTATTTTTTTGCTTTCTTAGTTTTTAGAGTAGTTTTTGAGAAATAAGTTGAATGATTGAATTTCTTACAACAGCTAGCTGAGGAAATTGTGGCCTCTACATTGAAAAGAAATCTTGGTAAATTTCTCCATAGGAAGCAGAAATACTAGGGAATGTTCTATCAGTAAATCCATGTTCTGTAATCTCCTTACCTGGATGGCTATTAGCTGGAAAACCTTGTAAACAAGCATGTACCATTAGGATAGATTTTTAAAAGCAGGTTAACATAGATAACAGATTTTAAAGTAGCTTCAAAATATTTTAGTAGACTAGCTGAAATAAGAATGGTTGATTTTAGGGCCAAGGATTTAATTCGTGACATAAGCGCCTGCCTGGCAAGTGCAAGGTCATGAGTTCAATCCTTGGTCCAAAAAAAAAAAAGAGTTATTCTGAATGAGAATTTCCTAATTTATTCAAATCTGTTACAGAAATATCCAATGGGCCAAAGTTGATATATGAGTGCCAGTTTAGGACATAATGGAATGAAAGTATCTTATTTCTCCACAATTTTGAAAGATGTTTTGTGAGGTACATCAATCTGGATTGAGGGTTGTTTTCTTTTAGAACTTGAAATACTTCATTCCAAACTCTCCTTGATTTGAGATATTATGTTGAGAAGTCAGCTTTGATTCTGATGGGCTTTTCTTTATAGGTGATTTGTTTCTTTTCTCTAGCAGATTTTAATGTTCTATTCTTGTGTTGAATTTCTGGAATTTTGACTATGATGTGGCTGGCTACAGATTTTTTGATCTGGCTAACTGGAGTTCTCTATGCCTTACTTACCTGTGTGTCGAATTCTTTTTCCCTGCCAGGAAAATTTTCTGCCATGATGTCTGTAAACAATATATATGATTTGTGCTATCTCCTGCTTTTTCATTGACTTCAGTCAATCTTTACGTTATTCTTCTTTGTCTCATCTAGCAGCTTCTGGATTGATTTCTCATTGTCTCTTGATATTTTTAAGAGAGCTTTCTTTTCATAATGACTAACTGCAAGTCTGTCTTCTATTTCTGAGATTTTGTCTTTCCATTGATTCCATGTGCTATGGATACTTTCAATGGAATTTTTATTCTTCTGGATAGCTGCTTGAATCTGTTTTATGGATTTCATTTCTTTCATATGTTGGACATTCCTGGTTTCCATCAATTTATTAAACTTCTGTTTTTTAAATGTGTGTCTGCTCTAATGTTGTTAAGCATGGTATCATTATGGTCATCGTCTCTGTATCTGAGAAATTATTTCTGATTTTTTTTTCTAGTGCCTCATTCATTTGCTTTGTTGTTACCACTTTAGAGAGGTCAGGTGGGTGGCTTTCAGATTCTCCTACCTCATTGCCTCATGGGTTTACCTTTATTGAACTGGATGTCTATGGTTGCATCTTATTTAAGTGTCATCTCATTTTCTTTCTAAGTTTAATTCCTAGGTTGATGCTTGTATATTGCATATAATGAGTTGCTTTAATGGTAGTATTTAGAACATTTAGGAAATGACTACTTCTCAGAGGTGTTTTCCAGGTATAACTGGTTTTTGAGTTTTGAGTCTGTCACAGTAGCCTACCTCTTCAGTTAGTTGGAAATGAGAAGTTACTGAACTGGTTGACCCAGCCCCTGATTCTTTGGCACTGGTTTACAGTGTTTTCTATGACCCTTAGGCAATCTCAGTCTTGGAATACCAGGAAGAACAGCTGGTTAGATCAACTTTGTCACTTTGGCTAAAGTGGTGCAATCAGCAGTAATAGCATCAAAAGCAGCCTTAAAAATGACAAACAGAAGTAACCATTAATTTGCCACCTTTAACTGTATGAACTAGATTTGTGGTTGTATAACAAAATCTAAGACAAACATGAAAGTTATATGTAGTAAATAAGTTCTCAGTGTTAATTTTAGCCTCAGGGGAGAAAATTTAACAGGAGTTAAAGTAGAGACATAAAAGAAGAAATTAGAAGCACGGTTGGAGGACAAAGGGAGATCATACAAATTTTGGGAACCTGGTACAGAAGACAGGAAAAGAGAAGAAAGAAATAAAAGGAAGAACAGAACAGAACAACCACCAACAAGAAAGTAAAAGCCACATTCACAGTCATATAAAAACAAGATCAAGTAATGAAAGAAAAAAATCCCAATATAAACAACAACTAAAATAACAACAAGAAAAGAGAGAGAAGAAAGAAAAAGTTCACTTCCAGGTTTGTCTCTGTTGTCACTGGTAGACAGCATGTAGAGACAGAGTCCAAATCTCTGTTAATTTATCTCAGCAAGCCAGCAATAGCTTTATGGCAGAGTAGTGGATAATCATAGCAATATGCACCTTTATTTCCTCAGAAATTAAGACTGGATTCTAGCTGTGATACTGAGATCAGACCCGTTCAACCTGGAGCCATCAGTGTACCTTCAATAGGCTTGAACTCTACTGGGAACCTCTAGATGGCCCCAGCAATTGTTCTGAGTTCTGAGCTCAGTTGCCCCAAAATGACTCCCAGCCAATTGCCCTCTCCTATAGGACATACCACCCCACAGCACTCACCCCAGCTAGTGCAGTCTGCCATGTCCAGTGCTCCCTTCCACTCTCCATGGAGGCTTCTACTGTTTCCAGCAGTCACTGTGTGTTCACAGGTTTGAACCATTCCCCCCATTAAGTGAGTCCTGACTCAGGAGAAGGCTCCACTGGCTACCTCCTCCTCCTCCACTGAAATTTTTCTCTTTTGTTCTCCCCAGCAACTTCAATTCTCACTTCAGAGCCTTCCTGGCTTTAGGAGACCCACTTCCCTCCTCTTTGTCTTCTGTACATTGCTATATTCCAATGTTTAGATGGCAAGTCTCAGAGAGGCTCTTTCTCTGCAGCTTGCCACTCGACCATGTTCCCAGAGCTATGAAATGAATACTATAGTTATGTGGGCTAGTGATGTGTTTAAACTGAGTGCTGTCTGTTCAAAGTTTCATGGAGACAAAAATTAAAAGTAAGATTTGTCTTTTGTGACCAAATTCTGTTCAAATTTTTGTTTTCAGGGTAAAATCTATTCCTAGTACCATTTGCCTCCTGAACGATACATAAATTATATAATAAATATTTGTACAGCTGCGCCTCTTGGGTTAGGACTATTAAAATTGTAAAGTTGTGCAAAATTACTGCTAACCAGGCAACAGGGTTTGATTGTATCCTCTCTCATCTTATTGTTCTAGCTTATTTTCTTTACTTGAGATTCCCATTTGTCTCCAGTGTTAGCTGAATCCTCTCTATCCTTTAGGACCTAGATGTAATCCTTCTCCACAGAGCCTTTTTTGACTCCCTTGTTCTTAATTAGCTCAGTTTGTTAGATACTTTCTGTGTTCTTAGTTATTTATTGTGGTCTTAGGTTTTTTCTTCCACTTAGATTTTTTTTCCCTCAAAAGCACAAATCAGTTATTCTCTTTCTGTGAGTGTATACCCCAAAGTACCCCCAAAATTTATAGTAGGATTATCATCTCTGAGACTAAACGGGAAAAACAGCAACAGCAGCAGCAGTAGCAGCAGGAACAACAAAAACAAAAATCAAACAGACAACATTGAAATGCAGAAAAGGTAGCTAGCTTTGTGAAGAAGGCTACCTGAGTAGAATTCTGGGCTGTGTGTGATCTGGCAGGGAGGAGCTAGGAGAGGAGATTGTATACTCCAGCTTCACTTTCTTTTACAGGTCTCCTATTTCCTGTTGATGCTTTCACCTGGCAAATTAAATTGGAAGCCCAAAGGCAAGAGAGCACAGTTGTTACAGTCCAAAAGCCATATTCCTGGGAATTAGAACAAGGTAAAGGAGCTAGGTAGAGAGTATATTTGGAAGAGGGAACAAAGAATATTCAGCATTGTTATCACAGCAGCAAGAAAATGTTTCAATTATAGTTTGTGTTGTTTTTATTCCATAAAAAGCACATCTATTTTTCTTGTCTGATTCATTTAATAATAACCAAAAACACTTGATAATTAATACTTTTCATGTGAAATGCAACCACTATCCTTTATTCTTTGTAGTATTAACTGGAAAGATATTATTAAATATCTTCTTAGTGATTTATGTTTTCACATTTCCCGCAATGCTTGTACAAACAATGGCTATATGGCCATTAAAAAAATTGTGTCATTATTTGTTTAAATCAGTCAAGGTTGATCATTTTTCTCATATTTTCATAGATTAATAATTTTTAATCTTGATGGGTATTGTCTATAATTTAGATCTTCTGAATCAAGCAGGCTTAGGGCGAGTTCTGAGCATCTGGCCTCCTATAAACATTGAAGTGTTGCAGATGCATAATGAGTGAAACCATTTTGCACAGATATTTATTTGGCCCAAATATTTGTAAGAGTATCCCCTTTCTTTTGAGTATAAGTGTACTATATGTTGGTAGGCAAGGAGTAAATGGAAATTTAATGCGGCTTTAAATGTTCTTCAAAGCAAAACAAAAATTTTATTTTGTATTTTGCACAGACAAATGCTTTAATTTACCTAATAGTTCTATTTTTTTAGTTAATTCCTGTGCTCTTGGATATTTCGTCTGTTTTAGCCTTGAACTTATTCTGCAGTAAGACAATGTCTTTAAGATTTATAAAATTATAAACTGCTTGAAATGTGTACAGGAAATAGCATACTAGTTATCCATATACCTACCACTTAATTTTAAAAATTTTAACATTTTACTATTCTAATTTTTGTTCTTTTTTTTTTTAATTTTTTTTTTGAGACAAGGTCTTGCTGTGTAATTGGGACTGGCCTTGAACTCACTATGTAGCCTAGGATGGCCTCAAACTCACTGTGCTCCTCCTGCTTCTGTTTCTCCACTGCTGGGATTACAGGTGTGCACCACTATGCCCAGATTTTTGTTTTGTTCTTTTGTGGGCCTGGAGACTAAACCCAAGGTCTTTGCAAACCCATGGCCTTTGCACTGAGCTACATCCCTAATTGCTTTTTTTATGTTTTATTTTGAGGGAGGGTCTCCTTAAGTCACTAATTTGCCCAGACTGGGCTTGAATTTTCAGTTCCCTTACCTCAACCTCTCAGGGTTTAGGATTACAGGTTTGCTTTACCAGGCCTGGATAGTTTTTCTAATTTTTAGAAAGAAAAATGAAAATGAATTTAAGCCCTCTTTGGTCCCTTCCTAGTGGTTACTGTTCTCGAAACGTGCCTGTTTTCCCCATGAATGTTTTTTATTTGTGCTACTTACGCATGTATCACTAAACAAACTTAATAGTTTCACATTTTAAAACTTTTGTTACTAAACTACATCCTTTAAGGTGTATATTTCTGCAACTTTTTGGCTTGTTTAAAATAGTTTTGAGTACTTTCTAGATATAAGTAGTTTTTAGTTTATTAACTTTTCTAATGCTATATAGTATTCTATTGTATGAATGAACAAAAATATTAAATCTATTAATGCACACTTTTGTTGTTTCTAATTTTTTTATTGTTGTGAAGTATTGCTAAAAAGAACATTCTTATATAATATGTTTCTTTATATACATACAAACTTAAAAATAAAACTGCAAATCTATCTGAACACATACTTTCTCTTACCAAATTTTGTCAAATTATTTTGTAAAATGCTTAATTATACCTTCACCCGGCATTTTACGACATTCTTATTCCTCTATATCATTTTTATACTTGGTATTATAAGATTTTAAATTTTCTGAATGTGTGAAACTAAATCTAATTTTGATTTTTATTTTTTTGATTTCTGGTGAGACTGAACATTTTTCCTGTGTTGTTTACTATTTGGATTTCTTCTTCTGGCTAATACATTTTCATTTGTTTTGTTCTTTTTTCTGTTGCATATTTGTTTTTTTGAAAACTGTATGTTGTTTAACTCATTGTTTATATTCTCAAGTTTTTCCTAGCTTTGGGGCAGTATCTTAATTGTATTATACAATTATCTTGAAGCTTAAAAATTATCAATATTCAGTTTATCAATATATTCTACTCTGTGTTTTGAAAGTTTTATGAACCGGCAAAGTAGTCACTACTTTGGTCTTCCCAAAGTTTGTAGCTTTCTACTCTATTTTCAAAAAAATGTTCCTAGATAAGGCAGAGTATGAATAGATAAATGAAGATATAAATATGTCACCTAGTTTCTTACTGGAATAACATAAAATATTAATTTAAAATTGTATATAAATTTCTTAGTTCCATTAAATAGCCTCCTGTGTAGCCTTATCTCATTTTTTCATATGTCTGTGAAGATGTGGGATGAAATGAAAATTCACTATAAAACCAGTAATAATAATAAAACTGAAACCTAAAACCAGAAAGAAGTGACTTAAATTAAGAAGCAGAGGATTGAAAGGGATTTCTGCACCAGTATCTCTGTATCCCACCCTGGACTCATAATGCTGACTGCTTGGTAAATACAGACTGACAGAGTCCACTCTGCCTCTGAAGTAGGACCAGGAAACTGAACGAATATCTCTCTCTCTACCTCTTAGATTCTGCTCCATAGGCAGGAACTGCTAGATTTTCTTTTACTTCCTATGTTCAGAGCAATTTCAGGAAGCTCTAGGCAGAAGGAAGGTATGGCTTGGGTACTCCAGAGAATATGGAGACAGGAGATACAAAGAACCCTGGTGATAATACATGAGCAATTGTGATTAGTTTTTATTATGTGTTATTTCAGTTTCTCTCCCAGGAAAACAGACAATCAATAAAGCTCCTGCAAGATGCCCACTCTGAAGTATAGAGCAGGTAGCAGAAAACCAGGTCATGAGGCTTGTTAGAGATAAGGTTAATGGGTGGAGTCTTTTCTATATCAGCAAGTTTTGAGCGATAGATCTAAGCAAGTGGGCAGAAGAGCCATCATAAATCATGGATAGTTTCCTCAATCTGTCTGTTTCCACAAGATCTGGGAAATTAAACTTGTGGAAGAAGAAAAACAAATATGGCAACCTAAAATGAAACCTCTGAAATATTGTGGAATAAGCAAGATTTATTATTACTGAAAGGAATATAACATTAATTTCACAACTTGATTTGGTAATATTTTCATGAATATAGTGTTTTGTATCCATTTCAGGGTTCTGCAAATAATGGATTATTTAACACCTTCATTACTTTTGTTTGGTGAGCATTTGGGGATTCCTTATAAAATTTTATGTGAGGGTAAAAGTGCAGCAACTGGTTTCATAAGGAATGTGATTTTCTTTCTTTTTTTGTCTTTTTTTTTTTTTTTTTCCTTTTTACCGGGGATCGGTACCGGGGATCGAACTCACGACTGCCTGCTTGAAAGGCAGGCACTTATGCCGCTGAGCTAAACCTCCAACCCCCAGGAATATGATTTTCAAAACACTGACTTTAAAAAAATTTCACAAAATGAATCAATCTGGTTTCATGAGAGGATCTTTACTGATCACCACTAAAAGTTTTAAAACTGTGGATGTTGGATTTACTAAGAGTTGCAAATAACTCTTCAGAATGTAGAAAGCATTAATGCTGGGAAACATTAAAGAAAGTTAGACCCCACATACTTTAGCAGCCTCCGAGGGCTTCACAGAATGAGAAGATAAAAGAAGCAACTGGTGCACTGTGGCCGTATGAGTATGTAAGTCAGACTTTCATCTTAATATACCACTAAATAGTGTAATTAAAGTTCAGGAAGATTTGTGCTAAAGGACTTGAGCAGCTGTTTGCAGAAGCAGTTGCTGACATACAATTTATAAAAAGAAAAGACTACAAGATAGTAAATTAGATATGTCTTGATGTGGATTCCATAAAGAAAAAGAAGAAAGTATAGCCAGGCAAAGCAAAATTTTAAAAGTGAGAAAGGCCATCAAATCCATGTAGTAAAGTAATAGTGTATACAGTAGTGTGTGAACTCTGACAAACTTTTTTGACCTTGTTCTATTAGAATAGCTAAAGAAGAATATGTCTGAGGTAGCATGAAAGATGTTATATGGGGATAGTTGCTACTTCAGTGTTCTGCTTTTCTTATTGTAGCCAGCTTTGATATCAATAAGTAGGAGAATAAAGCTAATGATATTGGTTGCCTTTCTCTGTACTAGTAAAGTGACTTTACAGTGACCACTTTGCTGATTCAACTTAAAACTTTGACAGGACTTCAACCTCCTTAACCCACTCATCCTTAGAAATCTGAAAACCAGAATAGTTAGGCTGATTTGAGAAATTCTTTAATTTGTTAGTGCTCAGTATTCTTATGTATAAAAGAGTTAATCTAGACCTCATAGGAATACTTTTATGATTAAAGAAACTAGAGTCACTTACTAAGTATTATACTCAAAAATAGTAGCTAATTTTTAAAATAGTCATATCAACCTTTTGACTTCATGTGTTGTATGTGGAGATTTTATTTTAAAAAACAGACACTATGCCACTTTTTGGCCAGTTGCTAATTAAAAAGAAATCTGAAAACCTCATCCTTAGAAATCCTTAGAAATCTGAAAACCAGAATAGTTAGTCTGATTTGAGAAATTCTTTAATTTCTTAGTGCTCAGTATTCTTATGTATAAAAGAGTTAATCTAGACCTCATAGGAATACTTTTATGATTAAAGAAACTAGAGTCACTTACTAAGTATTATAGTCAAAAATAGTAGCTAATTTTTAAAATAGTCATTTCAACCTTTTGACTTCATGTGTTATATGTGGAGATTTTATTTTAAAAAACAGACACTATGCCACTTTTTGGCCAGTTGCTAATTAAAAAGGGGAAATATGTTTTTGTGAATAATTTAATAAAGATTATAAATATTTTTAATATATTCAGTAACATAAAGTCATTAAAACATGATGTCATGAAACTTGGGTTATC